CCGCGTCGACCTAGCGACTGTACAGCTGAGAGGACGTTACAGAGCTCAAACCGAACAGCTAGGATGTGTATACCGAGTTGCACGTTGACCAGCTCATATATATTTATTTGGCTATGTTCTACATAGATATCTATATATATATATTTATACCTTTGAAATGTTCTAGATTTGCTAAATAAATATGAAAGCAAAGGAAACCTTACTTGCACACACTATTTGTTTGGCTGTCGTAAAAAACATAGCACGTATTTCTCATGGCAGGTATTTGCTACAGGATAGTGTGCAATAGTGGTTTTTACTTTATTTTAATTAGTTTTATTTTATTTTTTCCCACTTTCAGAACCTTGTTTGCAGTGCAGAACGCTAGCATCAAATTATCTGATCTAAATAACAGTATAGATTTCCGTGCCATTATTTTTCTTTTTTGCTTTTTCTCATTTGGGTCTCTAGGCTATAGTGCAAAATTAAAAAGAAAAAAAAAAAAAAAAAAAAAAAGCTAAAAAAAAAAAGCACTGAGAAATTGGTCTAACTACTAGGAAAAAAAAAAAATGGAGACCAAAATACTCCCTGCCTCCATCTGAGGTTGTTCATGAACAAGATGGTCCAAAGCTACTTGTTTGCTCCAGTTCTCGCGAATCACTGCTGGCTGGCCCATGTGTAGCTACGACACCAGTCTGCAGTGCTCCTCCAGTAATAACTCGTTTCCTTAGCACTGTCATCTCAACACGACATTTTTATTTAGTTTCCTAAATTTCTGAAACTGTTACGATGAAGGCATTTTTTTTTTTTTTGCTTTTGTAACCGGGCCATGTAATGTCATGTGATTCTTTATACATCCATATTCTCATAAGAAATGTTGTTCAAAAATGTGCCTTCAACTGCACCCAGAAACTGGGAAAATGCCAAATCTACTTTCAGTGACAAACTTGTAACACATTTCACTCTTTGACCTTTTGGCATAATATGAGAACAACAGTAATCAAGGCAGTATTAAAAAACACAGCTGTAGGTAATACAAAGTGCATTTCCTGCATATAATACAAATATAACTTTAAGAAACTAAAGGCACAAGCTAACTAAATATGTATTACATACTAGAAATGCACAGTTCAAGGTAATTCTAATAGCTTCAAATAGTTGTTTCTAATGGATATTTAAAGCAGTTTGAAAATGATACCTCATTAGTGAATTGCAAAAAAGTATAATTGCTTAAAATATAAGTAAAATAGACTCTAATATTGACATCTTGGATCAGTGATAAAATACATCATCACGTTTATGAATGCACTCTCTATATACAGTTCATAAATTATTCTTCCATTGATTAAAAGCGTATTAGAGGCTCAAGGATTTGAAGGTCCATTTTTAGGCTGGTGTGGAGGTATTCAAATTCTCCATGATCGTACGGAAAATTATGGAAATCAGAGCTGCCACACCTGGAGGCTGTCAGCTCCCGATTCTGTACATCAGTTAACGATGAGCCCGATCAGAATGCGTATGTGCCGATTTTGGTCCACAAGTCCCCCTGGCTGGGGAGTAGAGGGTGGTTTTAGGGGCCAGGCTCTCGCTCAGCCTGATCCTGCACCCCCAAAGCTGCGCTGGCTCCCGGGGGAGCGGAAGGAGTCTGGAAAGAGATGCTAATGGTGTGAGCTGAGACCCGAGCCCAAACCCCTGGGGGGGGGTCAGGTCTCAGGTGCCAGGTCAGGCTCATCTCTAACTTTGGTACAGTCTGCTCCACTTGCCCAAAAACAAGGGAAAAAAGAAAACTGGAAAGAAGGGAAGAAAGACAAAGAAAGCACTTTGTTGGCTTTCATAAATACGAGCAGAAATTGTTTCATTATATTCACTATGTCTGTTTTGAAAGAAATGTGCAATAACATCACTGTTACGGATACACAGGCTCTATAACAAGACTTCTAGCTCCCTCTGAAAGTCAGTAAAGGAAATCTGCTTGCCCGTTCCCCCCTCCCCGTGTGCCCTCCCCTCCCGATAATCAAGTCTTTCAAAAATGACAAGCTGAAAGAAGGATCACCTACTCTGCTATGAAATAACTGTGCCAGCAGCGCATGATACCTTGGGAAATAAAAATTTCTGCCCATGCAATATAATGTTTTTCTATGTGCTCTAGATATTGAGCTGAAAAGTGAAGAGTCATCCCCAAAATGTTCTACGTTTATCAACATATTTACTATCCACACACTTAGGTTCATCAACTCCCAACCCACCAGTCTTCTTCAGACTCGAAAAAATGAGTAATACAACAGGATTATTAATTTGAGATGAAAAGAACGCGATGCCTAAACCCAACAACACTGCAATTTCCAAATGAGCTGTGAAAAGACGAGTCCTGGCCCAATGCCTACAGACAGGACTGATCCTGCACAGCTTGGGGGCCCTCCCAGCTGGGTAACGAGGGTTGTCCCAAACGCACTGATTTAGAGCCCAGCCTGGAGCACGCGGATGTCGACTATAGTGCTCGCAAAGCCCTTCTTCGGCCACCCCTGACGCCGGGCCGAAGCCCAGCAGGGCGGTGCCGCCCTGCACCCCTCCGCCAGGAAGACCAGCAGCTCTACGCGTGCTGCCGGACTCCAGCATAACCCAGTGCCGAGGGAAACCTTGGGGGACGGGCCCCCCACGCGCAAAAGTAGACGCGACGTGGCGTTCGTCACCGAGTGGCTGAGACTCGGCTACGGCTGAGCAAAGCTAAAGGCCATACGGGACAGCCTTTCTGTACTGCATCCGATACAAGTTGGGTTTCCCGGGTTAGAAAATCCCTTAGATCATAGCTGTGAGGAATGGCATGTGCGGGGTTGGTGAGCAGCTACGAAGTTCCCATACACAGTCTGGTTTCTGTATGCAATCCCTTGAACTTACGGGAGATCTCACTGGGTGAAAAAACTACCCAGTAAACACGGGTTGCAGAATCAGGCTCTGTAACCTTGTAAATAATTGGTGAATTATTAAACTAACAACAAAAAAGTCGTGTTTCTTTAGAAGAAGGCAGAGCACGCTGCGCTATCCCCCACCCCGCAGGGATGTGCGGTGTCACCCTGGGAACTTCGCGCGCAGGTCGCGCCGCTCAGCTGTCAGGACTCTGCTTCTGAAATTTTTGAATACTGCCACACAAGAACTAAAAATCGTCACCGGCATCTCTCGAAGAGTTAAACAAACAATATTAAAATACCATCTTCTGTCACATTTAAAGGCAGTTGGATATGTTTTTTCCTCTATATTTATATATACAGAGTTCTGATCTAGAAAAACCAATACAATAAACCATTTTACGTTTAAAAACAGGCAGTCTTTGGTGACGCAAAGGCAGAGATTTTCTTTGTTACCTTCTGCCTATTTCACTCTGTCTCATAAAGTGAATATTATTGGCACTGTCAGAAAGTTCGAGATACTGCTCCACAGATAAAACAAAATATCCATCGTAGCCTTGTACCCGCCCAGTGCTTAGAAGCTGCTGTTTCTCTCCATCTGTCCATGCCCTAATACCTTCTTCCCCTTCCTGCAGCCGTCTCTGCTCCTTAGTCCAGGCCTGAGCCACGGCTCTCTGCCTGGCTATCTCTAAGACATGGTTCTTTTCTTCTTCCACCGTTGTTCCATACCGAACGTTAAAGCAGAGCGCGCCGTGCTGGAGCTGGATGTCAGCAAAGCGTCTAGTCCTCCCGTTGATCACAGAGGTCATCTGCGACACTGTGACGTTGACGCCATTCTCCAAGATGCGTCGTCCTCCGGTGTTGCCGATGAGGGCCAAATCTTCTTCCAAAGACCCCAGCTTGATGAAGTAATGCGTGTCTCGGCCCTCTATGGTGAAATGCAGGTTCTCCAGATAGTGAGCGTTGTTGAGGATGGCAGCAATGCGCCGGCTGTCCTCGTTAGCCACGCCTATAATGTCAGCTGTCACTATACCATCCTTTATAGCGAATTTGATGCCTTTTCCGAATACTGAAGGAATAGCTGCAAATCTCGGTTGCTTCACTCCCTCATAGCACTTGCCGTCACTATACCTGGGTGTCATAGGAAGTTGATCCAAGGATATAAAGTTTCGGAGTTGCTTTTGTAGCTCACACTGAATACCAAGGATAGTCTGGAAAAGAAAATACCAATAAAGTTTGCAGGAGAGGCATCTTGCACTTCATTACAGTGTCTTACAGGCCCTACTAATCTCTGAATTGCTTAGAATGGTTCTTCAATTTGTTTGTAAAACATCACGCACATCCACAGAGCCGGGCCTTTCTAATCGCCTAAGGTATTGCTTTCTGCCTCTTGGACTCCTTAGTTTCCAGAAAACAAATGGAAAACATGTTTATCACAAATGCTATTTTTGTATTTATTCTTCCTTTTTCTTCTTCCTCCGGTCTCTGAGTTGTTACTGTAATGGCTGCTCTTTCGACTCTTAGGCGTGGGGAAACCTGAACTCAAAGCTGTACTCTCTCACATGATTCTATGCTTAGTCTCTCTGCGTCTAATTATGTCTTCTGTAAAACAGCAATAACATTTTTTATAGCCCATTCTTTAAGGAAAGCAGGCTGTGAAGGTCTCAAGACACTAGAACAATAGGAACCACGCACGCACATCAGATCTGTAGATCCTGCTCCCCACTGGGCTAAAAAAAACCCTCACTCCAACCATCTATTTGTCTTTTAACACTATACCTATCGCTGCACTTTTTCTGTGCCTTTGTAATAGCTTCTTTCATATCTCAGTGACAATTTTACATGGACAGGCTCCTACATGTGGGACAAGCCCAGCCCTCTGCACTTTGTGCATTCATTTGTGCATGGGAGAACAAGTGTGTTAAATGCTGCTAACACGAACTCACAACACTTTATACTTCCTTTTCCTGACCACATTAGAGGAAAAGGCATCTTTTCTCTCTCCTCTTTGCAAAATCATATTTCTTTGTTAACAGGTGCTCGTGTGGTCAAATGCAAAACATGAACACCTGCCCAGAATATCGGTAGTTGGTCCTGTTGCAGTTACATTGATTGCTAGACTCTGATAGCTGCTGCATGGCTCTTCTTTACTGAAAATAAGCCCTGCAGCAAGGTTGAGTTTTACACATTCCCCTGCAAATCCACAGCAACATTTCTGTTTCCCTGCCATAATAATGCAGAGGTACAGACTTGTAAAGCTGTTTATAACCTCAGTGATTTTTGCATCTCTTGTGGCATCTTTGCTAACAAAGATGAAAATCTGTGGTTTTAGTTTTTTATTTCCACAGAATTTTTTGCAACTTTTTCAATTTTCAGACAAACACCTTTATCCTTTTGCCTATCCTGCCCCTCAAATTTGGATGGTTTCTCTGTAAATGGCTGCGAAGTTTCTTCACTGTATTCCTAAAAGCTTCTCCTTTAAGGAGTTTTAAACTCACCTCTGCACTGATGCCTGTACATAATGTGACAACATTAAAATTTCTAGCATTGTTAGACTATTTGCCTTGCCTGTTGAAAGATACAGTCACATTATTTGCTTGGTCTCCAATATTTTCTAATCAAATTCCTTAATTTAGTATTAGAAGCAGCTGAACAGAGTTTTTGCTAACCTTTCCAGGATCCCACTCTTGAGTTTTTGTTTGAAGCTGCAGCAGTTCGTATGTTGTCTCCAAAGCTTCTATCTCTGGTTTTGGGAATCCCGGTAGTACGTTGTGCAGCTGGAAACCAAACAGTTCTAGCCAGCTTCCAATGTCTACAAAACAAGAAAAGGACACTGGCAATAAGGCGCATAAATCCTAGAAAAAGTGAGGGTAGTCTGCAGAAATCCCAGCTATGCAGAAATAACGATTTCACATCAGTTTATGTTTTCAGTACTGGTTACAGAGTTTACTGTAGCAAACAAATTATTTGATTACAAAGCATAGCTATACTCAAATCAATAGTGTACCTTCTATCTATTCATAATGGAAAATTAAGCTGCCTCCATTCTTGCCCTAATTTTAGCACTTAGAAAAGCAGCAGAAAGAACTATTAATTATTTTCTTGGTTACCATAAAGGCTATAGAAAACAGGTCAAGCTCAGTAAGATGTTATCCATTAAAGAAATGACTTTAATATATGTAAGATTAGAGCCAAACAGTAACTTTGGATGTACGCAAAAGATTTCTGGAGTCTTGAATCCATACCAGGATCTGATCAAAAGCTGCACTTTCATGAGAAATGTGTTACTTTTACCTGTTGTATACTTAGCAACATCTTGGATCCTGCCAACTGGGTAGTTATTTTCAAATGAGTAGAGATTAAATGGTTGTGGGACAGCATTCAGGTGCTTCCATATATGATGATTTGGTGTCGTCCACCGACCAGCAATGACATCATAGTCCCGCTGACCCAGATGAACTAATTTAGTAAGAGAATCATAGAGCCCTCCATGAAACCCGATGATAACCTGGAAATCTGGGTTAGTGTCCTGGTAGATCTCTCCATATGGGGTGTACAAAATTTCTTTTATGACTTGGCCTCGACTGCTAAATACAGCTAGAGGTGTTCCAGTGTTATCACAGGCAACATAATATTCTTCTCCACTGCTTAATTCCATTGCAATGAGATGACCTTGAAGATCATAATATAGGGATGTTATTTCCGAGCTAGTATGATTGTACAAGTGAGTAACTCTTATTGGGTTGGAGAGATCAGCATAGAAGAACTGTAAGTGTTGTCCTAGGCTTGATTTGCTTGCAACTCGTCTTCCAAGACCATCATAACAGTATTGCACAGTCCAGCCAGCCACTTTGTTGTACGCTTTGTTCAGCAGACCGTTAGAGTTGTACTCAAAGATCTCATTGCCTCTTTGCCTGAGAAAGCCATCTTCGTCCATTTTGTATTGAATTTCTCCAAGTCTGGTAATGCGATCTCTCAGATCGTATCTCAGAGGAGTGAGGCGCGCACTGTTTCCATGGCTCAGCAAGTTGATGTTGCCATTGAGATCATAGCTGTAGCGCCACTGGGTTCTATCATTCACAGACACAGTCTGAAGTTGACCATCAGCATCATATTCATAAAAATATCTCGTTATATTGGCATCTACACCTACGCGTATATCACAGATCACCATACGACCCATATTATCATACTGGATGGTCATCCAGTAAGCGATAGACTTGAGAATTTCATATTGTACTTCAATCACCTGACCATTGGCACTAAAAATTTTGGTATGTTTCATCACACTGGTGGTTATAACTTGGTTTAAATCATAATTAATTACACTGAATTTCCCAAATTGTTCAGTCCTGCCAGAGACATCGACGTAACGGTATAGATCTATGGGAAGAGGCGTCTCGTTTATCATGGCCTGCATGCTCGTGACACGGAAATTGTTATAGCTGTAGTCAAATCTGGCGTTTACAAGCCCTTCTTCGCTAAACCTGAAGATTTGGCGACCAATAAGCGGACCTGTCCAAAACAAACAGGGGAAAGAGGAAAAGCAAGAAAAATAATGAATTATGTCCACAGTATATTTACCCTACAGATCTAGCACAGACAAACGATGAACTCAGATATACCCTTGAGCCTTATTGCTACTTGACTGTCTCAGAAAGTACCACTATGTTAGATTATACTCTCACAAACCTTTATTAATGCTTGCTCTACAAAATATTTATATGTTATTAACATTTGTTTAAATGAATGCTATTTTATTCATAATTATGATTTCTATTTACTTACAAGATAATTCTAAACTAAATTTATTTTACATGGTGATTTCCATCCTCATATAAACAGTCCTTTGGAATTTATGTTATATTGCGGTATAAACAGGGAAACTTGAAAATACAAGCAATAAACCAACTTGATTTAGTATTTAGCAAATATCCACACAGTGGAATAAAAACAATCAAACATTATAAGAGCTATTCCATAGCAAGCAATAAACAGAAAACTGTATTTCAAATGGGAGAGCTATATATGCCTATGGATACAGACATAGAGATATACACACATATTTTTCTATTGAAATGTAAAATACAAGAACTTGTAGACATAAAAATAATGGAATTTCATGACAGGTAAGCGCAGGATCAGGGCCAGAAACTTTAGCAAAGTGGTCGCAATTACACAAACCTGTTTGCCTGTATCTGATGGTGCAGATGAACCCATCGTGCATTAAATGTATTGTTTTAATAACCCCAGAAGATTCCTCGTAGGTGAACGTGACTTGAGTAGTATCATAAAGAATCTCAGAAAGTCGGGACTGTTTGGTGTATTTGTAAAGGACTCTGCGTCCTGTCCCGGGATACAATGTTTGCAGAAGCCGTCCATCTCTGGTGATGTCCTGTATGAAAGCCGCATTGCTGTCCGGAGGGGTGTAGATGTTGCGGTAGTACCCGACAGACAGCATGGTTTGCAAGGCATGGCGCACCATGCTCGGCATGGTGACCGAGAGCAGGTAGTCGGACTGGTCGTACTCAAAGATGTAGCGGCGCTGGCTGTGCAACAGGAGCATCACGGACTGCAATCAAACAGGAATGGCAGTATAAGCGGCTGATCAAGCAAATAGTTATTCACCTAGTGAGTGCCTGAAGGTTAAGGAAATGCTGAAACAACCATCTACTCTTGCAGTTTGCTCTTACTGTCTGCACAATTCCAAGTGAAGCTTTCAGCTCCAGGAGACCTGGCCAGCAAGATGGTACAAAACAGGAGGATAATAATAGTAAGTCTAGAGGTAAGGACCTCGAAACTGGGAGGCAGATGTGGCTCTCAGTAGCGTTTCAGCCTCATGCTGACTTGCTACGTTGCTTTGAAATATTTAGGTCATCCTCTCAGGAAGCAAAACCAGAGGGAACCTCTTCCTCACACACAGGCAGAGCATCTGCACCAGCAGATGTTTCTAGGGGAGGTGGAAAGGGGAAACTTTCAATGGTGTGTACGAGGTGTTTAGCTTTTATTGGTGCTCTGCAGATCTCTGTCACACACCTACCCCTTTTTCTGTATGTCTTCTATTAAAGGCACCTTGCCCCAGAGGTCACAGTATCTCCATGCCTACAGATGGATGAAAATAGTCTGCGGGTTCTTTGGTGTGACTACTTCTCTCTCTGTTTTTTAATGTTTACAAAGAATATAATTTCTATGCAGGTACTTAGTATTTGCCCTGTGTTGGTTAATTGTTGTTGGTCAATGAAATCTGGTTTGTTTGGCAGGTGAATGTGCAAGCACGGCAGACATTTTTCTGTGCAAATTTCAAGTTTGGGTTCTGTAAACTTTTTCACCAGTCGTGAAAAGTCACAGTGCCACAGAGTACAAGCCCACTGATGGACAGTCACTGTTGAAACAAGCGTAATGAAAACACAGAGGGAAAATGTATGGGGGAACTTTGTAGCCTTCCACCAGCTCCAGTAAGTGGCTTGGCTGGACCAGAGCGCTGCACATCCTTGCCACACTGTCTGAGCTGAGACGGAGTGCTGACACTGCACAGTTCTTAGCTCACAGCCCAAACCTACCAGGCACATAAGCAAATTTGTCAGGCTTCTGCATGATTGCGACATCATGCAAAACAAAGTCTTATCAGGAACAGTGCGACTGCTTTTTCATAGAGCATGGGGAAAAGAAATTAGGAAAAAAGGCTTTTTTTCCCTCTAAGCTCAGAAATCTCTGGGAAGAAAACACCAAGAGCTCAGCCCTGCAATGTGTTAAGTAACATTGGCCCTGAGCCACTTTGCTCTGACAAATAGCCCAAGAGCTTGTTCAAAGGACCACAGATAGGCTAAGCCTTGGCCACGCTCTCCGCACCCCCAGCCCCCCGTCCTCCCAAGATGTATTTCTTCCTGCCCTTGGTGAAAGACATCTGTCACCTGTACGCAAGCCAGAGAGCACCAACATATGCCACTCGCAAGCTATCCTCTGCCAGCTGGTGACGACAGACCTTTACACCGAGCTTTTCCTGATCGCTTTATTGCTGGTCTGCCAAGCAGTTCTAACACGCACAGTGTTTATTTTGTTTTCACCTTCAGTCAAGAGTCCCCAGTCTGCAGTAAACCACTGGCTGAACTCTCTCCTAGCACTGATGTGACGCCTCTATATACTGCTCCCAGGCCTATTTTTAAGCTGTCTGCCATTGACAGAGTATGAATAACAAGATCAGAAACATCTCTAATATAACTTTAGTGCCCCTGTGTGCCATTTTTACAGCACTTTGTGGCTTTTCCACTTTTGTCCAGGGTAGGAAAAGGATAGACAGTACAAGGGTTGGAGACTTAGTATCCTCTCTAGCCTATTAGAGGATACCATAAAGAGAAAAAAAATGAATTCCCAATTCATCCTAATAATATTACAATAGATTTTTCAACTCTTTGCGCAAATTGGGTTCTAATTGTTTTAAAGGATTTCAGAGGGTAGCTCATAAAACATCCAAAAAGCTGTCATTTTATAAAAGCAACCAGAGCCTGGTCAACCACGTAATGATTGATGCCACATGGTGCAGCGAGACAAACAGCCAGTGGCAATTACTCGGAGCTCTACTGGGAATACACAGAAATGCTGAGCATCGCCACTAGATGTCATTTCTGTCCAACATACGCACGCAGCCGCTCATCTATTTTGTCTGGTGGTATACGGCAGGATTTTGGAAGCAAGCTTGGAGTATTCAGGAGATTTTATACCACCATTAACTAATTGAGGCAAGTGACCAAAACAAGAGGAACTGAATCTCATCAGTAAAAATTATTTACAGTGCTACTATCATAGTGCTTTTTAAAACCTAAATTATTGGAGCTGATTTTGGAAGGGGTAGAGATTTTTGAAGGTTTACAATTAACTCATCAAATGCTAAAAAATGAAGAATTAAATAACTATGAATTGGAAGTGAACTATATAATTGATTTCTTGATAAAAGGAATCATTGGGTCTTAGGAGGTTTCAGACAACCTTTAGCAATCATTACATAATTAACCCAATGAATTATTGACTTTAATGGAGCCACAAAATGATATTTCAATGTCTAATTTTGACAGCGAATTCATCTTTCTTTGGCACAAGGAACAAACAGTCATGAAAGTACATTAAATAGTGGGGAGATTATGTCCATGGTGTGTATGACTTTCAATGATTATAATGACTAGTTACAGCATGACCCAAGCCTGCTGCTACCTGAACCAGTAAGCTTTTGCCATTTGCTTCTACAAGATCAGGATTTGGCCACTTGTGCAGAATTCCAGAATAACAGTTTTAAGTTATATGACTTTATTTATAAGCTCGTCATAAACTAAGAACAAAGTGGTTTGGAAAGATAAGAAGCATACATCTTTCCAAAATTATGGTCCATTAGGCCCAAAGAAAAAATAAAAGATTCCTCCAAAAGGCACATTGCCCAAATATGTGAAAGCTGTACTAAACGCCTGTTTACTTGCAATTTGCAGAAGAGCATACAGACAAAAGAAGCCCTGACGAATTTATCTGAACCAAACTTCTGAAGCTTCTAGGGTTTGCCAATCTTGTTAACATGTGCAAGAATCATACTGCACGCAGACAAGGAAGGAATCACATTTTTATGCCTTCTCCAGTCTAAATCATTTTTTTCTCTGGGTTAGGTTTAAGTTTTTTGAGGATCAGGCTGAAATACATTCAAAATAAGTACAGCAAAGTTTATCTTGAAAGTACACATTTTGAACTTTTAAATATATAAATAACTTCAAAGTGATTGGATTTCCTGCGTGTAATACCCCCTATCAGTTTTACCGCACCTGCCCCCTCCTAGCGCTTCCCTGTGGTTGACAGGTTCAAGGAAAATGTTCTGCAAACTCAGGGTATATTGGATAGTCCCAGATGTTGCTATTTAAAAAAAAAAAAGTTTAAAAGGACGCTGTTTCAGTACAATTTCACACTAAGTTCTGAAAGCTTTAAAAATACAGATTGGCTTTTTGGTTATGAGAGACAAGATGATACCAAATGAGATGCTTCTACAGATGAATGAGGGGCTGTTCCTTAGCCTGTACAACACCTGTTCCCCCATCTTGTGACCATTACCTATAGACATAAATGAAAATTACAATACTCAGGCAATTTAGACACGAAGTCACTATAAAAGCAGAGCAACAACTCATTTCACATTAATATGCCCCCCCCCCGAATAGCCCTCATAAATACTGAAGAAATCTTTCTCCTCACAGGATCAATCCCTTTTTTACAGCACAGCACTGAGTAGGTGCAAACTTGTACTCACTGCCTCCTAAATTTTGCTTAGAAGAACTGAGTTTGTGGGGAGGAGACAGTCCTTTTCAGCAACTGTTACATTTTTGACTATGTTATTCAGAGTGGCAACATGGGTTTCAGCACTGAGAGTGCCCTTTGTTCACTTGAACTTGGACTGAGACCAAGAAGTCATCTCTACTTAGCAATTAAACAAACCTGAGGTGCTAATAACTTTCTTCAGAACTAAACTATGGCACGTTTGAACTGGTGGCACGTAGGTCTAAGCACATCCAAAGACATTTTTACCTAGTTATGTAACTGCATGCATTTTTCTGTTTAAAAAGTCTTAAATAGTCTTGCAAGAGATAGCATTATAACATAGTTCACAATATAATATCCATATCAAATGAATATTTGCCTTGGTACAACAAACCACTTTTTAAATTATTTACCTTTTCTAAATATGTGTAACTCCATATTTTACCATCTGCCCATGTTCTGGAAATTATGTTCCCGCTTGGATCATACTCCATTTTCTCAGTCCAGGTTCCTCTTTGGATATAGGTGACCAATCCAGAATGTGAATAAGTGATATTGACCTCATTGTACTTGCTGATGGGTGACCATAAAATTGGGCGTCCTGTCTGGTCATACATAATCCGAAGTGTGAATTTTCGATGATCATCATAAATCTTTCCTGTTCTGGTTACGTGATCGAAATCAATGGAGAGCAGGTTTCTGTTGTGGGCCTAAACACGAAGATACAGTAAGGTAAGAAAACAATGCGTCTTAATTACACACAACACAAACACTTCTGTGTCAGCTCTAATCAAAATGTGCAATGGCTTAACATTGTGATGGAGAATTTAGGCCTTATTAAAGACAAGAAAACAGAAAAATATTCAGATCAGAAACAGGAGGACCAAGAAACAAAAAGCTGCTTGCATTCAGTTTTATTATACTTTGCATTGCAGGATGCTTCCTGTTTCCATGTGCTAAACCCTCATCTCTGCTCTCACCTTTTCCTAAGTTTTTCCTCTTTCTTCTCAACTTTCATCTCTCTGTGGATGGACTTTTTGATTCCAGCCAAAGATGTGTAGTTAAGCCCACAAATTAACAAAGCTATCCTATCTCACATCCTCTCTCTTAAGCTCCGGTAATGTTGACAGGTCAGCTACTGCTCCGGGACAGCCCACGCCGGGTCGCATACCGATGCTGCAAAGGCAAGAGCTGAGCTTGCAGCTCCCGAAGATCCTGCTCACCAGCATCATCACGCTTCTCCACCAAACCACCCCACTCCCGGAGCTGGTGAAAGCCAGCGGCAGCAGTGCCTGGTGCCAGCCATATTCCTCGTTGCAGCTCTCGTCCCACATTTGGGAACTGCAACATTTGCTAAACTCACTGTGTCCGACAGACGAACAGAGTGACTGTGCTACGATCTGTTAACATTTATGGTCCAACAGGAAAAAGCAGAGGGGCAGCCCAATTCTCAATTTGAAATCAAGTTCAAAGCTAAGCCAGATTCATGAAGACAAAATATATTTATTCAGGGCTTTCATCATCTTCTTCCTCACATCATTCAGTGACTGGGCAATCACTATTAAACTCCATTTAAATCAGAGATATAATTTAGGGAACCATAAGACATTGCTCATTGACTTGTCTTTTTCAGATCAATGCTCAATGTGCTCATTGTATTAATCTACTGCATTTTATCTAATCACTTGTATTAATCTATTCCAATTAATAAATTCCTTACAGCAGCGACGGTGTCAGTGCAAGTGTTAGCACAGCGCATGGCACAGTGCTTGCTCCTCACTGAGACCTGGAGGCATAGCCGGAAAGTAAATGGTTAAGAATACCTGTTTAATAATTCAAGCTGTGATCATATGGTGGTAGTGATTAGAAAGAACACTTTTTTTCTTTCCCCTTTCTGTTTTTAGATACAAAATAATTTGAAAATCTAGAAGAAGCAGGTGTTCTTTCTTCAGCTACCATTCCTGGGGTTTTATATACACACATGTCTAACTTTAATAGTGTTCATTTACAATAGCTGTAAAATACCTATATACCCCTGTAGATTGCTGTAACTATTACAATTTATGCTCTAATGATAGTTAAGGAGCCCAAGTAAAATGTGATGCTCAGTTCAGCTATATTTGCTTGTATACAGTCTGATGGATTAAGTTTATTATATTTCTTTGCAAACTTCTTGCAATTTCTGAAAACAAATCCTCCTGGTGGTAAAATAACTGAAAAGCAAGCAGGGAATATACCCTGGCTCATATTCATTTACTGACTATGTACATATTTGATGTTCTTATTGCTATTATTATTATTATTGTTATTGTAGGATGCAGTTAGGAGAAAGGAAAGTCTTGAATACAAATTGCTTACAATCTAAATTTCAGGGACAACACAACAAACAAGAATGAACACCAAACAGAGCCAGAATTAGCAGTGAAGTGGATAGCAGCAGTATTTGAAAGCTCACAGAGTTAAAATAAGGTTTGGGTGGATGCCATTACTTCCCTTGTATTCCACATTTTATGTCTCATTTGTTTACTTTCTTATACTAGATTTAAATTAAATTTAACACCCTTGTCAGGGCAAGACAGGATGATACATGGGTAGCAGGCCTCGTTTCATCGTCGTCACTGAAAAGCTGATCTCAAATCCCAGTGGCTTCTTAAAGATGACTCCTCCAACGTACATACAACGTCGTAAGGAGCCCCCGTGAGAGGCTGGAGCTCACGTGTTCTGTTACAAGCCAGGGAAGACTGGTTTCTGAAAGCAATGTCAGGTCAGAATTTCAGCTGATGAAAATAGGGAGAAAAATTCAGCTGACTTCAATAATAATGTTAGTGGTACATAAAAAGATATATTTATTATATATTTTTAAACATTCGTTGACTCTACTTCCATTAGTGTTACAGCTAGAAATTTTGCAGTGTAAATAATCACATAAATGTGCACTTCTCTTGACTTTCATTCTCAAACCTAAACTGTCTACAGTTAGACAAGATGACTGTATTATTTCCTTGTCTGTGTTTTGATTTGAGTCAACGTAAACTGATACACACTGGCTGATGATTTGTTCCTATCATTAGAACTTGCTGTAAGACTGGTAAATAAAGGGAGATCATTTGCTAAATGCAATAATAAACATAGCTGTCAAAGCCTGTATCTGCAGGACTTTTGAATTGAGGCCAGTGAGTTACTGCCTTTTTTGTTATTAAAAAAAAAAAAAAAAGCAAAAATAAGTAAGACTGGCCAAGCATTCAATTTTCAATTTCGTAGATATTCAGTCATAAAACCTGGACTGCATCCAACAACAAGTTCCTCCAAGTTATGCAAAAGACACGAGGGAACAGAGCTGCATTCTAATCAGTGTATTACTATGCATCATGCTCATTGGTTTTAACAACAGCCTTTGCTTCATTTTTAGAAGTCAATTAAAATAGCAGTTCAATTGATAAAAAAACAGTCTTGCTAGATTAAGATTGATGTTAAAATGCCTGATTGTACATAGATTTATTATTAATATAAAATGCATACATGCCTACAGACTGTTTTATATACTTGCAGGAAGCGCCAGGGCAGGCAGTTCTGCACTTAAAGGAAACCTGTGATTAATTCCTGTTTCCCACATTGATTTAGGTACCGAGACAAAGTTAGATGTCTGTTCTAGCATTTCAGTTAACTTACTCACTTCTGCTCTATTTCTAGAGCAGGGAATTCGCACCATGCAAAAATCCCACTTTTTAAAATACAACGTTTACAGCATTATTCAGAACGTGCTAACGGTGGCCTCTTTCCAAAACTGGAAATAACACTAATAGAGTGACATGCTTTCAAGATGGTTGCTAATGGCAATTAAGAATTAAAAATGTTAGGACCAGGCAGAGAAGGAAAAGCTTTCTTCTCTTCAACTAGGTCATCCTTTATCTCATCCCCAGTTACCTGCCTTCTAATTTATACCTCTTAGCACTCAAAGCCGTTTGTTTCAATGACAGTATCAGGACTGATCTCTAAGTAACATCTTTAAACCTCATTTCTATGCTTTTTTTTCCCCTCAGAAAACTCTTCCATTGTGCTCTTTTTTTTCTTTAACTGAGGGCTCCTGCAAGTCTGTTCATTTCCATTGAGAACTGGCCCAATCCCCAGAGCTTTTCTTTACATATATTTTCAAAGTTCAGCATAGTTCTTTCTGCCCTACATTGCAAGCTTTCTAACACACTCCCTATTAGGCTAGTCATGGCATATTAAGTGTTTAAAAACTTTCTTTTTAAAATGTAACTCACTAGAAGTTTTCAGAAGGTCTCACCAGAACCTCATCCAGCATAAGGGCTTCTAATGATGCTACATTCTTTGTCCCAGCAGTACTCACGGATCTGTCAACAGTAAGCCCTAAATCCCTTTCATTATTTGGCGTACTGCCTCAAACACACTGCATGACGGTATTTTTGCTCCTGCTGTCCTGCATATTTCCTTGAATCACCAAGGAAAGATAGCTGTCTCTGGGCAAATTCTGCCGCTCCTCTGCTGTCCTCGCCAGCTGCACTGTTCCAGCTCCTTCCACTTCCACTGACTCCCCAGTCCATCAGCATCCCATGCAAACTTCTCAGTACTAAGGCTGAACTCCAGGACCCGCATATTTCATCTGTCCTCCAAAGTCCTTCTTATTGGCAGTGACAGCCTCGATAGTCCATTTGTCCCTTTCTCTTGTGTCTATTTACATGGTGTATCCTATGCGCAGAATATTTCTCCTCCTTTCTACTACCAAATCCTCATTTAATGTGCTATCCCACCAGGTTCCCTCCAGCCTTGCCCTGACAGCCCTTGCACAGATGGTCCTAGGGCTCAGTACAGTCAAGGGAGGGGAAAACATGGTAACACAGGCAGCTGACTTGTCCTTCTGAGTAGGCAGGGACAATTCATAAGCCCCCTTGATCTTGGGTATGTATAAAAAGACACAATTTACAGAAATACCAATGCAGTGGTCAACTGCTGTGATGCTGGTGGATACTTTTGGAAGGACAGAGAATATAAGACAGCAGCACATCAAAATCATTCTTACACTTCACCATCACCTTCGAACCTCTCACTGGATGAAGGTGAAGGAGGAGAAGGTGGAGTACACGAGTGGTTCTATGCAGCAACAGACTGATCTAGAGGCAGGTCAAGCGGTTGAGCTCTGGATAGCTTCAGTGTTGCAGTATTTCAATGAATATTTTATGCCTCCAGCCAGAATCCATTTAATCCTGACCAATTCATGAATTTCCTCCCTTTTTTGCCAGGCAATATTAAGGATCATGCAAAAGCAAGTGAAAATGAGTTAAAAGCACCAGCAATCAATTTCAACAATAGAAAATATAAACTGCATAACAGGAAAACTGTGCAGGATGAAGTATGTACATTAAATATAACTGTCATGAACAACTTGGCCCTGGCAATGTAAGCAGAATAGATGACTGCCTACATCCTTTCCGTTTAAGATTCTATTACATAAGATCCTTAAAGAAAAAATGTGCCATACAGTTATTTAAGCACAAAATCACACAAAACTCAATTGATTAGGTAACGTGAGCCATGCAGGCCACAGTTTCGATCTTGCCATCTTAACACATTTGCCACTGTAATAAGTTCAGCTGCCTCCCTAGGCAGGGCTGTGAGGACTCACACTATGCTGGAGAGGATGCAGTCAGAAGATGGGCACCAAAAACTAAATGAAGTTCTTCCCTACTTGCAAGATCCTAACGAAGTAACTGTGACTGTCAAATCTGAAAGATGTCCTTTCAAACAGATGTTTCACATGCAGTGGCCAGTCTGGCCAGATCATCCAAGTCTTGTGTTTTTGATTGATCAGAGCAGTTGAAAACCAAACAGATGATACACTTTAAAAAAATATATAGTATCTCATAACCAAAAGACAATCCAGAGATTTCAATAACCATCTCTATATTTTCAGAGCTAACAGATGTACCTTCAGAGATAATACCTATCCAGAAAGGTTGTAGTTAATAATGCAATATTTTTAAGGCCAAAATTCCCAGTTGTACTACTGGTACAGGCATTTTGAGGGGTATTCATGTGAAAAACAGAACTGATTTTGTAAAAAAACTGTTCTGCAAGGTAGCAGTCCCTTTGAGCATTAGTATTACCTAATTAAATGTTGAACGTTGACCATCTGTCATTGTAATCTGTGAGTTCTCCTCACAGATAAAAATAAACCATGGATGCAATGTTAAAGTAATTCTTTATTTGAGCCATAGTGTAATGTGGCCTGAGGGAGTGAGGGGGTTTGAGAGCATGTGGTAGAGGGCAGAATACGCAGCCTGTCTGGTTACACAGGGAGGCTCTACATCACTCTGGCTTGCAGGAAACACACTGGCCAGGACGCTCAAGGTGTGCCCTGCGAGACCCCCTGCCCCAGGCAGACGCTGGCCTCTGTTATTTCCCCCAGAAGAAAGAGGGTCGATAGATCTGAGAGAGGCAGAATGTGGCTCCAACTCTGCTGCTGTGCCAGAGTAACTACGCATCGTCCTTTGCTCACAGCTTCTTCCAAAGCCATAATTAAGTTCTTAGTTGAAAAAGAAGAGGAAGAAAAAAAGTAATTATGTCTTGAGGTCAAGTCTCACAACTAAAATCAAACAGAGATCAAATACCCCTGCGACTGTCGGAGGAGTTTGGTTTTGAAATTCATGGCTGGGGCCCACCATTGATACAAACTTTCCATTGCTCTTCTTACAAAGTAGAACATTTCAACATGATTTTAGTTCAATGGCTTTCAAAGGGAACACTGCACTTTACACAAGAGGAAGCCTTACCCTTAGCCTTCTCTCAAACGTGGAGATATTGCCTTTGGTCTGCTCCCTCCTTTGCCTCCATTCAATGAGATTTGAGTTATGCTCTCCAGGAAGGGAGATATTGCACTTTCCTAAAGTGGGGCTGACAACCCCTGCTAGAATATGAGGCTCCGTGTTAAGCGTGATTTCCATTCCACTGGCGAAGGTGACTCTCAGAGACCCATCTGGGCTGACCCGGTAGATATTCTGCGTATTATCTGTCAAAAAACAACAACCAAAAACAGGGAACAGAGAAAAGTTCAGAACTCCGGATTTACAAAGCAAATGTTAGGTGCAATAGGGCTTTGCTTGTCCCTAGGTTACAGACAGATGAACGTACAGTAATTGCAGTGTGATTTTTGCAACCTGTAACCCCTAGGCCCTTCACATGTCTACAGAGCTTTTTATTACATTTAGCCTGATGATTTCTGTTGTGTCAGGAATAAAGAGTTTTTGCTTTCAGCTTAAAAGTATATAAACCTGGGTTTCGACCATCGATATTCTGATGACTGTAGCACATTGGGATCTGCTAACAGGATAGTGTTGAACGGCTGCAATGAGTATCTGAGGTCAAGCATGAAAGCTGATTTCAAAACGTCTAGGATGATGGCCAGCCTCCCATTCTGTCCCTCCTCCCTGTATCACTGTACTAAAGCCTCCTCCTCTTCCCCATTAGCAGCAGGAGCCTGGGGTAGAGGCACCATGCCGGTCAGCCACGAGCCTGAAGCCTGGTGCAAGAGAGCCACTGGGAAGTGGCTGTTGGCAGAAAAATGAATGGGTCAGCAACGGTGGCACAGCGAGCAGCTCCAGAGGCTCAGGACTGTGCCGCAGAGGGCTGTTGAGGGCAGCCGGGATGACCTAGCACGGCGTCCTCCCCCTCCCCAAAACTGCCAGAAGCACGCGGAGGGGCCAGAGCAGGTCTCCACTGAAAGGACACAGAGGCATACAGCCACTGCACGCTCCCTTTCTCTTGCCTGGGCACTGTAATTCCTCCAGCGCAGGCAGAGCTGTGCCCATCGCCTCGCATTTGGGCAGGCTGGGGGTACGCACACAGGAGCTTACTGTGGCGCAGCTGCCGGCGGGCAACTCGATCATGAGCCTGAATGTTCAGTGCTAAGAGACAAAGCAAAAATCTCACCCTTAAAATGCAATTGAATTCATACCAGCTAGGGACTATGAAAAGCATCCTTTTTTTGAAGCTGGTCCACACAGAAGTAACCGGTCCAGCTCTTGAGATGTGAATATGTGGAACATAGTTGGGTATGTCAGAAAGTGAAGATAATAGGCTTTGCATTGAAAGAGACTTTGTGACTCAGATGTAAGGATACCACGTCTGACTGGTTGCTCACAGGGTGCTTCCTGATAGTTTCACAGAGATAGGGAAATATGCAAATGATATGAATTCATAACTATGATAGGTATAATAATAACAACTACAGCTGTTTGCTTCTGGCACTGCCCATAGTGTGCTAGCACTTTCCTAAGACAGAATTTGGTAACATACCAACTTGGAGGAGTTTCAGACTTAAGGACAGACATACAATCAGGCAGTCAGCAGATGATGCAGAGAGCAGATGGGGTCACTTGGACAAAGACTAACAGGTGATACAACAATATAATATAATTATTTCCCCTTATTCGGTGCTGTCTCTGCAATGCAATAGTGAAGAGGAATGAGTGAGTATCTTGTGAGGTGAGTTCTTCCTATTTTTTTTAATAGATCAAAACCTGAGAGGAAGAAAAGTTCTGTGATTTGCTCAGTTACAAAGCTTTTCTATTGCAGACCTGGAAGGAAATCAGAGAGCCATTTCCCAGCACCTGCTCCCTCAAAGCCTGAACAATCCACTGACAACAAAAAAATCAACAAGGAGAAAAAAAACTCAGATCAATTAAACTATATAAAACCAGAACTTTGGTGATGAATCTGCAAAATCTGGAGGAGGACACAGGGGCGCTTCCATGAGGCAGAGAGTAAATTCTTCTTGAGAGATGTGATATCGCCAGGGAAATACTGTGGTGTCTACAGGGCTTGAGTCAAAATCTCATCCCCAAGGCAGTCACCAGCAGAGGTGGTTCATGGCTTTCCTCCCTCCCACCAGCGCTGTCACCAGGACACAGCACTACCAGAAAGAATTCACAGCATTGGCCAAACAAGGCATTTCAGTGCTAAAACATCAGTGGAGCATGTCATTCTTCTGGGCAGTACTTCTCAGAATAACAAAGCTCAGTGTATCGTAGGTCAGTCGAAGTCCTCCAGATACTGAAGTAGAAAGTAGCACATAAAGCCTGGAGACATCGGAGATTTCACTAACCCGATTCTATCCATGGGACTGTTCTAGGAGGAAAAGAATTCACTTGTGGTTTGTTCCTAATTGGAACCCCAGGAGAATTGTAAGTAGTATCTAGCTATTTGTGCTGAAGCAAGGAAGAAACAAATGAACAAATTCTCATCTTTTTTGGGCAAACAGTTAAGAAAGCAATAATGTCTAGGGTTTGAAACATAATGATTAGGGAAGAAATAATAGAAATGCTTTAATTACCTTGTTTTAAAGTATATATTGTAGAGGTAGCTGAGAAGTTTGTGGCTGTGATCACATTCTCTCTGTTTGAAGTATCGAGTTCCACTCGTGTCAGTTTTTCAACATCGCTGTGGAAACTGCTGACTTCCCCAGTCGGGAAAGTCGTGTTGGTTAGGTGGCCATCAGAATCATACCTGCAAGACATGATGTTAAAGAGCCATGAAAATACATCACTATTGTCTTGTAGCTACTCCTAAAAGAAAAAAAAAAAAACAGGCAAAAAAGTAAGAAGCGTTGCCAACACTGTGCAATAGGTAAAACAGTAAGAATCGGTCCATGTATTCACTCAAAATGCATTCATTCCCTATCTGAATTCCTGCTTCGACTCTTTTTCAGCGGTGCTGGATAAAATACAACTGGGAACAGTATGAGATGCTACCTACATCGTTCAGCTTCTGCCAGAGGCTTCAGTGCTGTGCACAGGCAGTCGGGGTGCAACCCGCCGGGATGCGATACGGGAGGGTGGCCGCTGGAGGTCGGCATTCAGGCAACCAACGCACCCCCAAAAAGGCGTTTTCTTACCCGCAAGTTTAAATAAAACCAATTCTTAGATTCTGCAACACTCAAAAACTGCCTTTTGTTGCTGATGTGTGAAGTACATAATATGAATGGTGAATTTAAAAAGGGGACCTAAAGCGTAACAATAGCGATAAAATTAGATTGAAATCTACGGCGATTAAGTTACCTGCATGGTTTTTACTCTAGTGTTACGTTTCCCACGGGACTACTCAACTAACTTCTCATCACAAGTAACAGCACCAGAATCTAGAGCACCACATTTCAGTTCACCTAAATTTCACCCGTGCTAAAGAAATTCTTTTCATTTAAAGTACCTTATGTGATTCGGGCCATGTTATGAAAAAGTCAATAATTAATTCAAAAGCTCTGGAGCAGTGTTTCTAACAGGTCTTTTCAGTTCTACAGATATATTTGTTCTTACTGATGGTTCACATGGAAAACAATGCACAACATTGCCTGGTGCATGATATTGTTTCATATTAATGCCTTCCATCTTCAAAACCTTACTGATGCTAACACATTTTTATTCATCCAAGACACCTCACTGATACTGCAGATGTATTTGCATGAGTAAAACCAACTCATGTTCATAAAATAGAAGCCTGTTTGTGCAGGTAGGAAAGCATAATTAAGTTTTCATGTTTTATTACTGTCTCCCCTCATTCACAAAACGTCTCCTCAGCTGGTGTATCAACCGGCAAAGCTCTGCTGCCTCCAATGCAGCTCTTCCAATTCACATCAGCAGACGATCTGGCTGTGTCCTTCACTTTAATGTGTTGGCATCATTTCCTTAGGATCTTTATTTCCCCCTAATTAGTCAGACAAAATCTATACATCACAAGAAGTGTCGGTGAAAAAAAAAATGAATTTTTCTCTTCCCCCCAATATAAAAAAGAAAAATAGAGCAGCTGTTCTTTTCAAATGAAACACTGGCAAATGAACTGGTGACCATCTTGTGTTTTTTGACAAATAAATTAATCAAATGTTAAATACAATATGATCTCTTGCTCTTTCACCTCCTACTGCTCTCACATACATCACACAACTTATTTACATTCCACCCTTACGCCGGTTCTGTGCAAATTGACTGGGTGCCACACCCAGCAATTAAAATTGACTCAGCTCACTACTTTTCATCATTAGAAAACTCCATGAACATTGGGCAGTTATATTTCATTTACTGCTTGATCAAACAGTTATGACAGCTTGCTAGGCTATTTGGATTTTCTACCATACCGTAGAAAAATCCCCAAATCATGCATTTTTATGGCGTAAATGCAGCCAGTTTTTTGGAAAGTACTTCTGTGCAAGACTTGGGATCCATCTTCACTAAGGATCCAGTTTTGCTGCTGATAGTGCTGACGGTGAGACGCAAAACTCCCTGTGTAGCTGAAAATGGGATAAACTTGTTACTGGATGGCTGGCCAGATAAGGTACTGAATTATAATGAGACTAGAGCATATGCCAACGGACTCTTACTCATGTAGATGGTCCCACTGACTTCAAGGAGAACATGCAGATTAGCGTCTCAGTAACGATTCCAGAGCGTGACCATCCAAAGGGGTTTTTTTTTATTCCAGATTGCTCCAAGAAACCCAACCCTCCGAGGACAGGTTCTGCCACCTTTCACATGATGAATAGTAGCACACTGGGACGCAATTCCTGCAGAGCAATGTCCTACCCATACTAATAGGGGCAGAATCATGACATATTTCTTAATGTTAATTTGGGGCCCAGTTACACCACTGTTAATCATGTTGGTGACCATTTAATCATGCAAATAATTGCATTGATTTCAGTACTCACATGAGGAAGTGCTCACCAATATTTGAAATGCACACTTGGGGATATAGCTTCACAATCCATTTGCATTTCTACGTGTAGCACAGTTAAGAGTTATATCATTTCAAAGGGAAAGCGGTCTAATTAATTTTTTCAGAGAGTTGTTTCTTGCAGGTGTTTTCTTGTCCTTGATTTAATAGACGCCCAGTGCTCCCCCTCCCCTTTTACAGCTTTAATGATACAATATTAAAAAAATCCAGATGACTGAAAATTGTACATTAGCTATAATTTCATGCAAGAGCTCTTTCAGTACTTCCATTCCATCAGATTAGAGTAGATGGATGACAAGTACTTTTTGTAGGTGGTTTTCTACCTCTTAATAATTTCCCTCTGTGAGTGGATCTGACATATAGGTAGATGTTCTGAACAGTTCATTATCTTTCCTCATATTCCCAAGTATGTGTGATACGTGTTGTTAAACAAACTCATCCCTATTTCAGCTTGACAGTGCCACGGGTTGAACTTTTGGATATGAATGCAAATCTAGCTTAAACAGAGAAGATGATTCCAAGCAATTTGAAAGTTGCTCATATGATAATTCGCTTAGCTCCAATACTATGTTCATATAGGACTCGGAAGCAATTCACATGTAAGTAACCCCTTCAAAAAAATCTAATATTCAAACTTAAATCGCGTTGTCAGTTCAGAATGTGACCTGTCTGGAAAATAATGTCTGGTTAAAGGATAACTAACGACCATCATGCCCCATGACCTGTTTACGGCAGAAGGTGAGCAGCATCTCCGGAAAGCACATCTACTCAGCGCAGCGCTGATTACAGTCAACTGCCTCTCTGACTGCGGCAGACTGGGTGACATTCTGTGTATCAGCCATTCAGGAATTTCTAATATATTGTGAAGATGACTTAAAATATTGGACTGAACGTAAATATTAATGACATGGCTTCACCGTTTGATCCTGCTGTTGGTTTTGTAATGTTAACAACTGTAATTCTGTTAATTTCTACTGACTGATCCAGCCTGGCAGAAGTGCACGGTTGTGCAAAGCCTGGACAACTCGAAGCATCAGTGAGGACAGTGTTACCTAGCCAGCAGTTAAAGCTGTGAAAGTATGAAAAACTGCTTAATTTAGCAAAATTTCTTTGTGTTAATCATATACATCATATCAATCCTTTCAAGGCACAGATGTCTCTTTGTGAAGAAATCTGTATTACATACAATGGGAGTCACTTGCAAGCAGGTGAAGTCCTCTAAAAGATCTTACTACGCTTGAGTCAGACTTTAACAAACAACTTGCCAGAAGACAACAGGAACATGGAATAATTGTGTGAAAGTGGTTTACACTCGATGTCAATGGGACAGAGGAAGAATACTGAGATTGAGAAGCACATGACTAAAAATAATCTGCTCTAACATGCTCGAACAATCAAGGCCCTGCAACAATGCATCGTGTTCAGCATTTTAAGAAGTAATAGGCATGATTTGGAGATACTGTAAAAGCTTTTTGAAAATGTCAGTGGGCCATGGTCTGGATTGATGCCATCCTCAAGTAGGGATTTAAATGGATCACTCTCAGTGTTGAAATTATTACAAAGAAGCATATATTTTAAGTCAGTTCTGTTTATAAAAGGTAACACTCAGATCAGTGTTTAAACAGCACCAGTGAGCTTTGTCTTGTTGCAAGATAATTTAAATTTGTATCAATAGATGTCTGATAATGAGAACTGAACCAGGAAGGCCCTGGTTTTGTTTTCCCGCATATTGTCAAAAATAGCCCTCTCTAATGGGTTATACTTATGTCCACCCTATCAATTTAGTCTTTGGCAGAATAATAGAGGGCAGGATGGAAAAACAACCCCTTGAATAAAAAAATCCCATGCACTAGGCAGCAGTTTTCTCTGCTTTTATCCTACTTCCATTTTAAGAAAATATAACTCTAAAAACCTGTAATGATGGTGACTCAGCTACCTCTCCAGGTGACTTATGCAGTAACTGAATTCTCCACAACGTGTTTTCTGTTCATACCTCACCTGGATGGCTTTTCATTTTAGTTTTTGACCGTGAACTCCTATGCTCCACAGAAAGCAGGCATTATTATCCTCCCTGAAGACTCTGAACTAATACTGCAACACTAACATATGACTTCCATCCATCACTTGTCACATCCTCAAACAGGGATTATGACAATGAATTATAAATAATGAGAAATCCTTGTACACCACACCTCTTTATAAATAAAAAATGAACTTTCTTTTGGGTTGTTCTCTCTCTGGGACCAGACTGAGATGTTCTGACCACCCCTTTATCTGCCTTGTCCTGCTGTTTAGAAGTCCCATCAAAAGTCTCCTGAACATCTTGCTTATGAGGCCATTCCTACTCCCCTTATATACAGCCTTTTGTTATTACATATCCTTTGGTTATTATATATCTTCTTCCCCTGCTGACAGAGACAAGACCACTCTTGTCTTTGAATATTCCTTCCACTGAGGTTCTGTTTCTTTTGCAACACTCTCTTCTCCAATGAGGATGCTAATTTTCCCCTTTTTGCCTTCCGCAGCAATTCTGCAAATTCCTGATTCACATCACAACTTGCCTCTACTTCTTTAGTTACAAAAAATTCCACAATCATATTTTCATTTTGAGAAACAGATTCACAATAATAAAGTGCAAATGAAGTATAATTTCAGGTAGTTTCTGCTACACTTAATGGGCACTAGGTACCGAGCTTTTACATATGACAGGCTTTTGCACTTAAGAAACGGTAGTGTTTCTTTGTAAAAGCTTGTGCAACAGCACTACTTGTCCTTTCTCATGCGGTGTTAAGTAGCAGAGTGTCCTTTTAAATTACTAGAACTGACTAGAAAAATTCCAATGTTCATTTAAAATAGGGTTCCTTACAACAGGCATTTAATGTCATGGACTTACTCATACACAGTTGTCCATCCATTTTCATCGCTTTTGGTTGCTAAAAGCCCCGTGTTTCCAGGATATGTCATCAGAGCCAGGTTGTAACCTTGGGCATAAACTCTTTTCAGAACCCCATTGCTGCTTATTGTCAGCCAGTACACCTGGCCCCCCGGCACCACGACCCACAGGGGCAGCCCACTCGTGTCTCTGCGGATGTGAACGGAATTCCCATTGCTGCTGGTGATGGTGCCAATATCCCCTTCCCCGCTGTAGGTGAAATTGTAAATGTAGTCCCTCGTTATGAGGTTCAGCGTGTGCAGGTGGGTGCCATTGATGGTGAACTGATACAGTTCTTGGTCCGCTGGCGATGCAATCTCATACATATTCGTGTCACTGAGGTGAGCCTTGTTTCGGCTGACTGCACGGATGCGAACATTGCCAAGGTCTGCTACGTACAGTGTGTCATCAGGAGAGACTGCTAGAGAAGAAGGTGCTTTCAGCTTTGCATCTTTGGCATATCCACCATCACCTAGAGGAGAAATGGTAATTTTAGTAATCTGTAATGTCCATAATTAAGCTGATCCCCATAGCCTGACACATTGCTTCTCCTCAGTATCATTTACAGGTCAACAAAACAGTATCTTCTTCCAACTAATTAAATCTATATTATCTAAGGCCGGTGAAATTCTAAATCAGTCTCAGTGAAGACAAACAAGAATATAAATTATTATCTAATTTACACCATTTTTGCTAAGGCCAAAACCCTGCTGCTCAGGAAAGCATTAATGGCAAAATTGTGAAAGAAAAAAACCCATGACACCTGAAGTTTCATTCCCTACTATTTGTCTGTTGGCATGTAGTTAAAGTAGAATTGTGTTATAAATAAAGGGAACATAAACCCCAGTAATTCAGCTAAAACGACACTGAAGCAAAGATTAGTTTATACTTACTAAAAACTCAACACTGCAGGAAACCAAACCAAGAATAATAGTCAAAAAGGGCCTTGAGAAACCACCCCTTCCAGTATCACTTGATAATTGACTTTGTTTGTATATTCTAAGGTTTGAGGAGGATATTTGCATTATCATGGGCTGTATACGCATATCAAAATGACTTCACATAAGCAGGATTTTCTGTAACTAGCAAGAAAGCATATTAAACCTCACTCTTAGAGAAGAACACATTACTGTTTGTATTGCTCCCTTTCTCCTGACTGACAAATGAAATTTGGTGGAGATTTTGAGCACACCCTATGCTTCCTTGGAGATGGACAAATTAGCTGGTCTTCTGACCCTGCCTTTCACCAGCCCAGCACTGGCACAATCATTAGATTTGCCACAGTTTTTAATTTTTCAGCACTGAGGGCAGTTTCCCTCAGAAGGAACCCTGAACAGGATCCTTTCCAGCACTGGTCCACCACAGCTGTAACTGAAGCTGGCAGCACTTGGCAATGCACATGAAGCTTTGATTATCATTACAACACTGGGTCAGCAACCCACCTTCTCTGAAAGACCATTTACATTTTTTTGTCTCCATTCTTGACATACTTAATGTTTTCTTGTGAGTAATTAACCTTTTACTTGAAATGGGAGGCTCAAGAATTATGATGACATTATGGAGCTGAACACAGTGGTTCTTAGAGATGACAAGATGACAACGTACTGCACACCTCTGTATACAGGAATGCTGTCCTTTGTCCTGTTATGAAATATGTTTATAAGAAAAAAAAAAAAGCCACGATGTGTTTTGGTGCATGCAGGAGAGAAGAGCTGTGTTGCTGAGAATGTCCAGTGGCGCAGTGCAGGCCTGGCACTGGCTGTTCCAGTGTAAAACACACAAAGAAGAAGAAATTCTGAACATTATGTGTTTGCATCATTTTGCTGGTTGTGCAGCTTGACACAAGCGATGAGAAAGCATAAGCTAGTGTTTTTCACTGGATGTGAAACACCTTGGTACTCTTCTTGGTGAGAAGGGCTGCCTGATCCAGTAGCATTTAGCTGCAATCTGCACTGGGGTTGGTACCATCTTCAACACGGGCAAATGTAGCTGACACAGAAAGGCAGACTTGGAGCTAATTTTGAATGGTGCATAATCTCTGTATCAAAAGAGGAAAAGCTAAGACTACCCTGAGGTTCCTCCAGTGCCAAGTGGAAGACTCACATCTCTATATCCAATGCATTAAATCCACAAAGAGCTGCTGATAAGGTTTTTGGTTTTCCAAGGAAACTGAATCATTGTTTGTCTCTCCCTCCCCTTGTCACTTTGCTGATCTGCAGCTGTGCCAGGGGGTCTGAACAGATAAGAGACAGGAAACAACTATCATCGCCTTACCTGAAAAACAGTCACAATTAGGATCAATCTTGCAGTCACAATCTGACGGGGCTCCAGCGATTATAGAGATCTCACCATTGGTTGTGACCTGTTGTATACGGTTGATCTTTCTTTCATCTGTCTCTGCAATGTAGAGTATCCCGCTGTGAGATACAGTGATCGCCCTGGCTGACTCCAGGGTTGAATGGATGGCCACCTTGCTGACGATGAAGTGGTCGATGCCTGGCACCTGGCAGTGAATGGGGCGCCCCGCAATAATTCGCACACGCCTGTTCTCAGAGATCTGCAGGACAATGTTATTGTCCAGGACATACAGTGAATTGTCTAGAGGGTTCACTGTGAGGTCTGTTGGCCACTCTAACCGCACCTGGAAAAACAAAATTAAGGGTAAGGTGGGAAAAAAAAAAAAGAAAAAAGAATGATTAAGACAGTAAGGCAGTTTCATTCGACCATCTCTGACAGCCATGCCATCAAGGCACTTGGTGGATTCACCCAGCACTGCTTCTCTAGAAGGTACCTTTAATTGGGTTTGGCAGAAGAAGTTTCAACAAGCATACTCTTTTCTGAGGTCGAGGTCCAGCATGGAACAAAAGTTGATTTGAAAAGTAATTTAGCACCCTCTAAGAGGTATTTGCACGAGTCCATTAGGTGGGAACTTTATTATACCTATGCAGTCATGCAAATAAAAACACACATTTCATGTCACGCAACATCAGCCAGAAAATTTTCCAGGTCTGAATGTTATTGTTTCAAGGTTGCAGTCAACACTGGCAGAGTGGAAAACAGTTAGAGGTTGTCAATGTCCTAACACTTTAATTGACTGTTAGTACAAAAGGAAAATGACATACTAGAAGAGTATGACACATTTCCACAATTTATTTACGAAACAAGAAATATTAATGACTTATATGCCATAAGAAATATAAGCTCGTTAATTCTTTGTAACATAATAATACACCAATATATCACACTTCACAGGATACAATAGCCAAGCCGCAATTACTTATAATGATTTTGCTTTGTGAACTCAGTATTTCAGTCATGGATTAAGTAAATTCTTCATATTTAAGGTTAGCTGTTTGCCTTTTTCCATGCAGGTGAGAGTGCCAACCAAGCAAAGCTTCCAAACCACACTGGAGGAACTGCTAGAAGAATGACCTCACTCATCTGATACCTGTTGCATCAGGATCTGGAGAAATTAAACATGCTCCCAGTTAAAAGTGGGGCAGCCTGTCAACCTGAAAGACAACCAGTACGGAACTGCTGATTGTAGCGCGTACTGGCCAGAGCTTCAAATTCCTCCTCCTGAGAAAGCTCCATAGGCAGCGTGGGATCGCTGAATTGGGAAACAACAACCGCGTAGACTGGTCCCTCTCGCCAGCTAATGGCCAGTGGAGGATTTGGACTGCAGCTTGTCTGTGGAAAGGTCAGAGAACAACTGAGCCACCAAGACTGCAAGACAGCCTATTTTTGTCTGTCTCAGGATGCTTTGCTTGTTGTACTTCGTGAAGAGATGGCTGCTTTTCTCTGAGTGGAATTCTTCTGGACTAAATATTTCAATCATCAGAAGAGAATAAATACCAGGCTAAAACGTAATGGTTTTATATGCTTTATATGTCACAGAAGCTTCTATTATTTCCTTTACTGATTCTGTTGCTGGTTTTGCTCATTTTTCCACTGTGCTAATTAAAAGATCTATGAGTGTAGAGACTGCAGATGCTAACACAATGCTCAGCACTGAGGAATAACATATGGTGGAGTGTGTGGCCATCGCAAGCCACCTGCTCGCCTGGGGTCAGCTCAGGAACCAGGCTGGAGGCCAAGTCTCTCCCTTTCTCGAGCACCAGTATTTCCTGAATAATTTCATTTCCAGAAGTACATTGCTGGTTTGATAATTGATGTTTTAATAAAGCGAGGGCATTGCGGCTCCCGTGTCTCGCCCTGTGTGGTTATGTGGTGCACCACACAATCATGAAGGCTCACAGAGTAATTTAATTCCTCCTTGTGCCCAGTCCATTTTACTAGACAGCGTAATAACTGGCATTAAGACTAATGCTGTTGGGTTTAAGATCTCTTCTGAACCAGGTGGTAGAGTCCTTCCGAATGATGATAAATGTGGTGAAACAGTTGGAAGCAGAGTCCTCCCATAAAGGTGCTGATTTCTGTGGTGTGTGAGACTGCCCAGATTCTACCCGCTGTGCTAGGGCCGGTTTACACTCTGCTGTTAGCTCATGTTTCAGCTGGGAATTCACTGGGACACCAAATAAAACTCTTTAGTTAGCATAAAAATCTCTACAAGGCTATCTTCAGGAAACTTGGAAAAAAACATACTTGGAATGTACCTTTAATGCAGAACATTTGATTGCTCTATCAAAGTAAATGGATTATTTTTAATGGGAAACAGACACCTTCAACTTTAACGGTCTCCTTCACAGATTGCTCTGCTATAAAAATAATCTTTGATTCACTGTAACTAGATTATTAGTGATAAAAACTTTGGGCCGAAACTATCTATTTTTGCCATAATGACTCTGCACAGCACCTGCCATGTGTTAATAGCTGGCGTTCCTTCGTGGACCAGCCACACTGCCTTTGCCCAGTGAATAATTTGAATTCCTCCCACTGGGTGGGTATGCCTGGTCTCTTGCAGATAAACAGGGGCTGGTTTGGGCCAAAACAACTTTTTCTCTGCTTGATTTAAGGCTGATTTGGTTTACTGAGATAGAATAAACTTCTATGCAACTGTCCATTTCACTTGCAGCAATGCGCTTAAAGCTTAGCCTTAACAGCTGTTAACTGCAAGCACATTTGCTTTCACAATGATCACATCTGTAAATCTAGCGGTATTATGGTAAAAATAAATAAAATTTTAGTTGAGAACATCTAAACAATTTTGGTTACTACACCAGAACCTCTGCCTAGCTCTCTGCTCTGCAAAGCTCACAGAAAGTATGGCTACAGCTTCTCCTTCCTGGGTTTAAAGCGGTCATGGATGTATTAATGGTTTAATCCCAGGTGAAATATTAAAGCTAGCATGTACCTGTCTGGAGACTGCAGCACAAAAACCAGCTGCTGCTCACTGCAAGCTTGTGCTAGTGCAACTGGAGGGGAAAAAAAGGTGAAATAGGCCAATTGAAAGTAAACATACACACAAATCCCTGAGCATTCCTAATCTGAAGAGGAATTTCACAGATCTAGAAAAAAATCTGCACTGTTCTTGTCGGGGTGAGACTTCAAGGCATCTTCAACTGGTGTAAGCTGAGGCTGCTGCAGTCCCAGCCCATCCCCTCCGCCAGCACAGCCCGCAGCAGCGAGGCCAGTGTTTCTGTGCTCCTACAGAGAGCAGGTTCAGGACAGTTTGCTGGCTAAAAGCTAATCACCTAAATCAGCTTAAGCTGAAGTGTAACTGCACCCTCAGGTTCACTGTTACCTTGAAAAGTCACCGGCTGTTTCTTTTCTTTTAAAGCAAGCTGCCCTCTGGCAGGTTTCTGTGACCAACCCATCAGTTGTACTTCATTCAGAGCCAATAAACATATTACAGAGACACGCTGCAATTCTCATCAGATACGACTGTGCCGATTAAAAAGTTTTTCCAGACAAAACCTCAGCTAGGATTAGAATATTAAATCAGTTAATATAATCTTTAATTTGAAGCACTACTTCATAAGCCCTGTAAAAAGTCCTCTCCCATTTATGTATATTTTTCTTGTAACTCATAATTGGGCCAATTGCAAGTGTTTTTTCTTATATTCAACAGGTTCTTTTTTTGAGCAGTGTACAGAAATGGCATTGCCAATTATTCCATTATAAACCAACAGACAAGGTTTGTTGAGTAGCAGTCAGTACCTCACATTCTTCACACACTGAAATTTTCAGGTGACAATTCTGGTTTGGTTCACTGGAGGCTGAGTACATGCAACGAAAATCACTGCCGAAACAAGTGAACCCTTGAGCAATGAGACCTTTTGCATGTAAGTATTAACGTGTCAACTTTTCTGGGAATTCAGCATTTAACTGTCAAGATAAAGGCTCCAGCTATATCTAATAATCAATCTCTGGTTTGAGAAGTGCAAAATTAACACCTACTGGTCTGGCTTTCTAATACTTTTTTTCATGTCAACTGTTCTGGAAAACGCAAAGTGCACTCAGGTGGCTTCAGTTTAAATGAATTTTCACTGGGAGATCTACAGTTAGGTAGTTAAATAGCTCTGAGACCCGAAGGGTATTTTTTTTGTTTGTTTCTTTCTTGCAAAATATGCATGTGCTTGTATAACCGTCTATCTACCTACCTATCTGGTTTTGAAATATTAAAGTATTTTTCCCACAGCAAAGCTTTACAACTAAATAAGTAATGTGAGTTTTTTGCAAAGTAGCACTGATAGGAGGGCCTGCACTTACATATTTCTTAAACATACACACCCGCACACGTACACACATTTAAGTGTCAGTTTGTGAAGAATACTGTTTCACTTTCGGTTTTGACCATATGGCTAAAACTTCCTGCACATTTTGCATGACATTTTACGGCTGTGTTATTTTTGGTACTATTTTAAACAAATCAGATCAAACAAATTCTACCATTCATATCAAAGTAAGAAAAGTAAAGAGGGAAAAATTTATCCCTGTCTGCAGATGCAGGTTTCAAGAGCTTAACTGTTTGGTTGCGGGGGTAAATTTCACTGGGATAAGTTTCATTTATCATGGATTAAAAGAAGCTGCATAAATCCCTAAAAAGGCTTCACCATCGCTTTGATTTCTTGCCATGCATTGCGTGTCTACTTTGATTCCATTTCATGTAGTAGCATGAAATTCATGCCAAAATTTTTCTGATAGTCCTGATGGATTACTTCCTATCTGTACTGCTCAGCTTCAAGTACTTCTGTTTATGCTACCTTTGCCTTCATTCAGCTCTATGATACGCATTTGCAGACCTGATCGTAAAACCCTCCATACCTCTCTTTTGCTGCTAACTTCCTTTTTCATCTCCTCTTATTTATACTCACTTCAGCTGTTGTTTCCAGGCCAAACCCTTTTACTCACTGCAACGTCCTTCTAAACAGCATTTTTCTTTCTTCCCACCCCAACCCTTCTTTCTCCTTCCTTCTGCGAGAGAAATGGCTCCGAGGAAGGACTCACGCAGGCGGTCCATCAGGAGTGAGCGTGTAGTTTAGAAGGCTGAAGGAGACCGGTTCTGCTTCCCTGAACTTTTTACAGGATGTCTCCCTACATGTATTTCTCTCTATTTTCTCACAGTTGACAACCATGGATATTTTTTCATCTGTTTCTGTCAGTTTGCTCTCACTTCTGGGCTCTTTCTTTTGTTGACACTGACACTGTCAGCTCCTCTCAGCAGCTTAGCTTCTTTCT